TATAATATTTTTTTTCAATAGCCATTCATTTTTGTTATATAAAGGTAAGTCAAATTGAAGGCCAAATACATAAAAATCAAATTACATACAAAATGTCAAATTAATAAAACTAAATTAAATTTTAAAAAATAAAGTTTCATGTATTTCAGCTTAAATTACACGTTAAAAGTGAAATTCTAATACTAAAATTAATAAATTACTATTAGTAAATAAACATAAAAATATTATTAAAATATTTTAATAATTTTAATATTAGAACTAAACTTTTAATATATAATCTAATACAATGACAATGATTTAAAATGCCGTGACGTAGCTATGGTGGGCCTTTATGGACCTTCACAAATGCCATCATAGGGCCTGGGCCGTCAGTCATTGTTTTCTTCCTTCCATATCTCGACCCAGTTTTCCTGGGCTTCTTCTAACCCGAGAACTGAACCCGCCCTTTCCGGATCCCAACTCGAAGACAAAGCCCCGTAAGCAACTCCGAGGGTCGACGCCGCAAAAGTTATCAACGTGGTGGAGAACGGCAGCCACAGCGGCACATCCCACCCTTGCTCCTTCGCCGCTCCGAAATACTTCAGGAACGCCAGACCGACGGCTAGAGGCAGTCCTACGGAGACCAAAATTCTCGCAATCATTCTCTTAAACACAACCATTGGAATTTGCTCATCGTCCTCGTTATTGTTGGGATTTCTATCTACAGCTCTCTGTTTCGGACCGCCGCTTCTGCTGCCGGAGAAGCCTTTGGCATTGGCTTGCAATTGCCACGGCGAATTTGACGGGCGGCGTAGGTTTTGAATGGCCGTGGGGAGAATTGGTGGGGTTCTTGGGTTACACGGTGGAGGATTTCGGAGGAAGACCGGAGATGACGGTGAACAGAGTAGAGCTTTCATGGCGGCTTATTTAGTTTTTGTGTAATTTCCAGTTTCTTTGCCTGAAGAGTACATACAATGGAGGCTCTTTCAGTAAATATCTTATGATTCTTATCCAAAATATCCAAAAAAAAAAAAAAAATGAACGGCTGTGGCTTGTCCGAATAATATATACGGACAATCATAACAAAATTTGAGTCGTCGCAACAAAAATCTGCGGTATAATTTATGATTTCTTTTATACAGTTAATAAAATTCTTTTATATTTTAAAAAATAATGATAAATGATATTAAAATTTAAAATTAGTAATATAATTTAAATTATGGCATTTAAAATATTAAAAATAAATTTTATATTATTTAATAATTTATTTTTTTAAAACTTAAAATACTATATATTAATCAATTTAATAATATAATATCATTCATCCTAAAATTTTGTCGTAAATTTTTATATTCTCTTTCATTACTTTAATAAAAATACAATTAAACAAAAGAGTTAAATGATAATATGATGTTCTATACAATCTACATATTTTATAACCAATTATGAAAGATAATTTTCTTAAATATATGGTGATTTTTTTTTATTAATAATTATTATTTTATAATTTAAGACAAATGGAACTATAAAATTGCTTTTTTCAAATTTAAAAAATTAAGAGGGAGACCTATAAATCAGGAGCTGTCCTTCCCAAGAAATGATTGCCAGATTGCGACAGTAAAGAATATTCACCATGTTGTAATGAACAAGACAATTGAGATTTTTTTGGAAGCAATGGTGCATAAATGAGAAGGGTTAACAAAAAGCTAGAGTGCAGAAGTGAAATTTACTCTAAATTTTAATTACATTTCCAGAAAGATATTATAAGCTAATACAAATCATTTCATTAATGGAGGCAAGTGTGAAATATCAACTGATTGCAAAGTTCATCAACAATACTTGTGTGGAGAAAAAGGGACCCAATAAATTATATAAATGTGACAGTTCCTCATCATTTTTGGCAAAAGAAATGGAGATGCAAGGACCCCATCATCTTCTGTGGACTCAAATTGGCTAGCTAGTCTAATTATTTGGATAGAATTGAAAAGTTACATATGTAGACAAGCAAATTTAGATTTTGTATCATGCACCACGGCAAGGTCTAAGAACAATGCTTCTGCCTCAGCTTCTCATATGATTTTCTTGAGACCTGTTGCATAAAAAAGTCATTAAGAAAATATATACATGTCAAAAGAGTGTTGTGAGTCCAGACTACATAGCTCAAACCATTGGATGGGATGGATTCATTGAGATTTGAGGTTGTTTCTTCATTCAATGATTCTTGTTTTGTAGTCCCGACTATAAAACATGAAACTCTATATGCATAATTCTCTTGTAAATTCTAGAAAGGGTGGAGACAGGATATGTGGTGTCATTAGTAGCATTTGCAAGGATGCAATAAATCTTATGCTTGAAACTAATCTTAGTATTTAACATATCCTAAAAATTATGTATATTTTTCACTTGGGATTTTTGAATCATGAACTTAGCTTTATTCAAGCCAAAGCATACAACTCCACATGACATACCTTATGTTGGGAGGGTGAGTAGCGAGCGGCCACTGCAAATTTAGCAGGAGAAATAGGCATTGGTTTTCCAGGGGAAGCAGACAGAGTTGGCCTAATGAATGGAGATTGAACGTATGGTGTAATTGGCGAACGCAGCACAGGAGTAAGGCCCCTTGAAGAAAGTGGACTGTCATGATATGTAGAAAGTGGGGATCCCATGGGACTTGCTCTCAACTGGAAACGAGCAGCTGCCGCAGGAGACCTTGATGGTGATCTACTCAAAAGCTGTTTCATATTGATTGTAATTCTGAAATGAAGAGAGAAGGAATTAGTGTGTAAAAAATATCAAGAATTTTGGAAGCTGAAACTATTTGTCTGAAGTATTCAAAGTCAAATTGGCCATTACTTATTGTGAACATGTACATATTCATCAGTCTCATCTAATATCTCCTCCTACAAAATCAAGAGTTAGAATTAGAAAACCAGTCCTGAAACAGAAAAAATGAATAAAAACTCAAAGAGGAGAAAAAAAAAACCTGTAGCAGTTCCTCCATGATGTCCTCTAGTGTTATGATACCAAAAACTGCTTCATCTGAAACCAGGGAAGACCCTGAACCTTCATGTGAATAAGTTCCACTAGCTAACTGTTCCTGTTTTTTTACCCGCGGGTTTAAATTGCTGCTGCCCAGCTCCATCTTTAAAGTTGGACTTTGAACATACACTTGCCCATTTCCTGGAGGCAGTCATTATATATTCTTATAAATCTTTTTTTTTTTTCTAATTCCCAGAAAATAATTTCTATTGTGTTAAATCCGACCCATTTTGTACCTTTGATCTCCATGATACTGATTTTTGATTCTGCAGTGGTCTCGGCAATCTCCTTTGCATCATCCTTGCACTTAACAACTACTGCCATGTGGCTTTGACCCTTTTGAAATTGATTCAGTATATCATAGAGAGGTAAACGATGATGTACCCTGTCACAGATTTCCAAAGTAATATTTAATAGCAGTATAAAATTGACACATTAGTTAGACTCACAAGGTTCTGTAAATGACTGTACTTAGGAATAGTCCTGATAGTAAGATTTCTGATAGGGGTTTCAGGCCGACACATGATCAGGCTTTTTACCTATAAAATGCAGGAGGAACATTCATAAAGTTATTGATTTTTCATCCCAAATCTGAAAAACTATGCAGTTTCTGTTGCACTTACCAAAATTAGGCCAATGATATTTGTTGGACTGCCTGAGTATATTGGTACACGACTATGCCCTTTTCGGATGATGAGTTCCAATGTTGTCCTGAACATAGAAATAAGTTTTTAAGAGTCAGAGATTGACGGAGTTCGAGGCATAATTACAGAGATTAAGGGCATACTCATCAAGTTTAGAATTTATGTCAAGGGAGAAAACTTTAGATATAGGAGTCATGGCATCTATGGCAGTCTTCTGTGTCATGTCTAAAGCTCCAGTTATAATTGTTGTCTCATCTTGCGTCAATTCTCCACCTTTTCCTGCCTTAAAAACAGAGGAAGACTCTGATAAATGTTACCAATTGATTTCTGGTAAATGAAGTCTGGATTTTGGATACTAACCTCACTTCCATGCATATCTACCAGTGTCTTAAGCTCTGCTCGCCGAAGAAGGGCAGAATGCCTTTTCCCCAGCAGGAAATCTAGCAACTGGAACAAGAGGAAACCAAGAAGCATTTTGAATACAAGCCCTTCATTACATTAAACAGGCACCGAAAATAAGAGCAGATATTTTCCCTTTCAATTTACAAATCCAGCATATCACCTTACTAATTGGATAAGAAATGGGAAACAGGATTATGACGATGACACGAACTAGAGGTGAAAGTTTTGCTCCAACCCTTAGTCCATATTGGGAACATACAGCCTGGGGAATAATCTGAAGCAAAGATATGCACTTCCTCATGTTAAAGCTATCACCTTTACAATCAAATTCTGCAATTATGTTTTTCAGTTGAAGATTTTACCTCACCAAATGCAAGTATTAGAGTGACTGATATCAGTATGGAAGCCCACGCTGGGAGAAGCCGATCCAGGAAGATAGGAAGGGCCTCCATTGCCATGGCATTGCCAATAAGGAGAGTACATAGGAGCAAATGCTGATTCTTAACAATTGGTAGAATTTTCTCTGCCATTTGAAAAAACATGCAGAAAGAGAAAAATCAATGGGGCAAAAGGCTTTACAGGATGAAGAGAATGAACTGAAGGGAGGGAATAACATGAAGAACCTGCATTCTTCCTGTCTTGGGGCTGACCGGCCTTGACCAGGACCTCCAGGTCAACCAGGCTGAGGGACATGAGCCCCAAGGTAAGGCCTGACATAAGGCCAGCAAAACATACAAGAGCAATACATACTATTAGATACATCCAGAACATGGTCTCGCAGCAAGGCACATCACTTGCTGCCATTTTTGTCTTTGAAAGGAAAAGCAGAAAGTTTAAAAAGTTCAAAAGAAGGTTGTATGGTAACAGAGGAGGAGCAGAATGTGTAGAGAGATTACATGAAGGGAGATGGTATTAATACACATAAATAGACAAAAAGTGTAGTACAATTAGAAAGGAGGAGACTAAACCGACTCCAGCGTCACTAGCACCAAAAGTCAAGCCACAACAGCCAAAACAATAGAAAATAAAATCTTCCAGTTCCATGCAAACGCATGCTCCAAGAACTTATAGCAGAAAAACAGCCATCACATACCATATAAGAAGATTAATGTCCAAGTAAATAAGAAATAAAAACAAAATTTTATCATGGAATATCATCATGATCAAACAAATATCAAATTTACAAAACATGAAGATGTGTTGGGGAGTAGGTAAAACAAAAAAGGTGGCGCATGCTCTGAAGAATACATAACCCTTTTGAAGTTTTTAAAATGAATTATTGAATTTTGAGGAAACCTTTTGATGTTTTTAAAATGAATTATTGAATTCTGGGGAAACAGATGAAATGACAAATGTATTTTGGGAAGCGGCTTACCGGAGAAGGTGAAGTATGTGGGGCAGGCTCCACACAAAAGTGAATGAAATTATTCAACTGCTCACAGAGACCAAGATAAGACAAGGTCTTAAGACTCTTAACCTTGATTAAATTAAAACTAAAATGGATCTAACACCGAAAACCCATGCTTGACAGGTTAGTTTAAAGAGTTACAAGTCTTTTTTTTTTATTGAATATAAACAACAAGGCTTATCTGTCACAAGGTTTTGTTGATGCAGATGGTAACAAGCTTATTTGGTGGGACTGGTGGGAATTCAGTAGTAGCTGGAAAAATTGAGACCACAAGTCCTACAAGAATAACAACACTTTGGACCAACCCTTCTCGACCAATAAATCTTAAGATTGAGTTGTTAATAGTTCGTAGTTCAACTTTTATATATTCACACTTTTAATGTCTCCTATACCCAATATCAAGGATGTGATATCAAAGATTCACAGTGACGGTTGTAAAGGTGATTTGCTGGCATGGCAGATATGATTTCAAGATTAGTTATGCTCATAATTGCAGTATAAAATTATATATAAGAAATTATGGATGCAGTAGTTATATCCCTCCCCAAGCAGAAACTTATTTATGGTCTACTCAAATAATACAATTTACTTGGTAATCATCTGGTTCCAAAGAGTTGCCTAGCTAGATTCTACTCCCCCTGACTGGCTGTTAGAACCATTGTTATTTTACCGCCACATGCAGCTTCGATCAATAATGATAAAGACATCTACGCCTTCAATCAAGATTATGCATTTGGCATGTTTAACAAATGGCCATTTTGTTTTGCAATTAAAATGCACCAACGCTGGAGCCCGCGTTGACTTAACAACTCTTTGGATCATAATGCATGTGATCCTCAAAAGTTGGTAGCTCTTTTAAACAATACAATTAAAAGCTCAAGCTCACATTATTATGAATTTGTTATTATAATGTAATCTTTTATTAAGTCTTATGGCCAAAATAAAATCATTTATTAAATCTGACGTAAGAAAGACTCATCATGTTGGGTGCCGATAAGTTGGGAAGATTCTAGGAGGTCAATCAAAAGAAAAGTTTTTTAATGTTTTCTACGGAGGGGAGAACTCCATTCGAGTGATGACAGATGAATGATGATGCAACTAGGTGTGCTGCCTTGAAACTTCCAACTTTGAAGCTCCGTTGAGTTTTTAAACAAACACATGGCAGGAATTCTTCTAGAGTATATGCAGAATTGAAAACAACCATAGCTTGAAAAGGAGATCATACTTTCTATCTCAAACAAAGTCAGGAATACCATTATTTAGAACTTCAAAGTGATGCATGAACTTGAAGAAAATTACCTGAAATTTTGCTAACAAAGTTATGAATCCCATTGTTCTTTTCTTGACCACCCAACCGTTTGCTGGCACATGCAAAGGCTTTAGTGGAACCACAATTTTTTCTTTTTCATTTCAAATGGGTAAAGTTGGGTTAATATGCTACCTTCCTAGCAGCTCAATGATAATCTGCTTCCTTATATAGGTTCATTAGAAGTCTAAGGATTCAAGTTGTATAGGTTTTTTTTTTTCTTTTTCTTTTTCTTTTTTGATACATCTAATAACTAAGTTATACAAGAAATCAAGAAGGGATAACTCTTTCTTTTTCCTAAATCTCTTCTCACAATTTAAGGTTCGAACTTTAGATCTCAAACTTAACCATTAAACTATCCCCTTGGGTATATGTTTCCTCATTTAAAACAAATGAAAAATTCCCCCATTTATATAAAAAAGGGGGTTTTTATTTTGCACACTTAATTGTATATTTTTTTTATTAATTTTTATGAAAAAAATAAAAATTGATTTTAATTTTAAGAACCACCCTAGTAAAATTATCCACGTGTTATTAGTATAGAAAATGAGAATAATTTGTGTTTTACTGTACAAAGCAATGAGAAATATGTAAAATTAATGCATAAGGGCACAACAAACACATACAAAAATTGTACTACTATAATATTTCTATAAATAGAATGCCAAAAATTAGAACATTCTAACATTAAAAATTTTAAATCATCCATCCAATTACTGCTACAAGATGAATATGGTGTCCTAACTTATCACTTTTCCATTCTACCAAAATTTCCTTTTATAAATACTTTGATAATTTTCTTCCATCTATTTTAAAACAAAACTTTCTTTTTTGTAATCTAAATTATTCCAGAATGCCAAAAGTAACATCATCGAGCCTACATTCAAGGGACCTCTCCCCAACATAATGGTTGATTTTGTATTATGTGAATTTCACAACATTTTTATTTAAACAATAGTAGACTATTTTTTGTTAATTCTCCCTTTTTGGCAATCCGGACCACGAAAAGGGATCCTTGGTAAGGGAGGCAACAGATTTAGAAAACCCATGATAGGTTTATTTCCTCACCGACATCCTCCCTATTTTGCCAAGTATTATAAGCCGTTGACTACAGATCATTTCCAAAGTACTGCAAAAGCGAAGGGAAGATTTTGGAGAGAGGAAGGAAAGGATTGACATGATCATTACTACAATTGAACAAATAAATTGGATGGCAGATTGGAATTATTTTTGTCCTAAAACCTGCTACATACAATTGTAACTTGAAGATACAATACAACAAACAGCAAAGAATTTTTCTGGATATGATCTATGGAAAACATTAACATTCATTTTGATGAGCTTGTTTCTTTTTCTGTGGCTTTTGATGGATTCGTGGGAATAAAAGGTCATTCAGTTGTCTCTCAGCACCGTACTCTGAACTAGCCTGGAAATGAAATTTCAAGTCTTAGCCAAAAATTGTGGGAGAGGTCAAGAGAAGTTTAGTGAAAAGACAAACAATCTCATAGCAATTAGAACGTTGTAAAGAGATTGCAGTTTTTCAGTCCAAACTGGCATTTTAGGTTTTTAGCCAGTCTAGACTGAAAATAACATTCCTGTAATTGTAAATTAAACATGATCATCTTTCATCTTTGTTTTGTGGTGACTTGACTTCGAACTTTCTGGTAAGGATGTTGGCTAAGTGCGATTATCTTTAAACATGGCTGATTTATTATGAGGATGAAGATTGAAAATGTACTCAAACTGAGAGCATTCTCCAGCAAATTTGGGTATCTTAACTCCCATGTCTTAGGCAAAAAGATTATTTTGGTTTAAAAAAAGGAGACTTTTGAATGTAGAAAAATGAAATAAGTGGGTAAAAAAGGTACATCAAAGGAGATATATCTGACATACCCGGGTAGGAAATGCATATCTCAGCGTCTGAATTTGTTTTCCAGAGCAAACCCTCAAGTCAAATCCAAGGGAATCCACGCCAATCAAAGTTGCCTCCTACAATATATGGTAACAAAGAGTAATCATCCAAAATATCAAGATAAAGAAACAAAGTATCTTCGAGTTAAATACTCTGAACAGCCCATTTGTTTCATGAGAATTTTATTCAAGGTTTTTTAAGAGTTGGATTTCTTGAAAACTTGATAATGCTTACTTTTGTACTCAGAATTTGAACCTCTGGACACTCATCCTTTACCATTTTTATTATTAATATTAAGAAGGGGTGAGGAATAGGGATTGAAATACAGGTTCCGCATGGTATAATCTAGTCTTTAAATTTTTAAGGAAATGCACAGGCAATAGTAGGTGGTAATCTAATATGAGAATTTATATTGCAGTCTAGGACAGTCCATCTCTTTTGCATGAAAAGGAATGTCTCAAATATGGTTTCGAAAACATGAGAAATGTTGATATACGTGGCTCTCTTTCAATATCAAAACAGACAGAATACACTCCAACAGGCTTGAGAAACTAAATTTTTTGGTAACTTACCTCTACTTGGATTCCCTTACATCTCCAACAGAGTGACTTGAGGGCTTGTACGGACTTCTCTCCACCAGCCTTGAACCGAGATATAATGTTGGATGCTGAATGTGCAATGGCATCAGGTTGAGCTCTCTTGTAGTCTTCTAGTTCAACAAACATCTGACAACCAAAGAACAAAAACTATTTTCTGAAATCTTGAAAACAAAGAAAGAAAAGGTGAAGAATCTTCCGCTAGCAACACTAGCAAAGAATGAACTAAATACGAATGTAACTTGGGTGGCATTATACAACTTGAAACTTTGAAAAAAAATGAAAAAAAATAAAATAAAGAAGAAGAAGAAGAAGAAGAAGCAGCAGCAGCAACAAAAGAGCAACACTCTTTTAAATGAACTTTTGTTTACTGTATCCCAGGTTACATATCAGTCCCAACATGCAACCAAATAAAGGAAAGACAGCCAAAAAATAAAATAGAAAAGGCTATCTAATGTGAAATCTTGCATTAGTTTTATAATTTTATCTTGATTGAAGAGTGCAAGGGAGTTAATTGGCACAAAGCAAGTGACACACTAGAAGAAAATGTCTATCAGTTAACTTTTTTTATCATAAAAATGTCTAAGTTATTGCATGAATGACATGTTGTTCAATCAAGCCCATTTCTATCACCTCAGCTCTGGTGCATATCTCAATCTCAATCTTTCACATGACAAACTTATTGTGAAAGCAAATCACAAACCTGATGCCCATGTTCTGTGATGAGCTGAATTTTAATCATTTCCAATTTATAAAATGAAGTATCGTTTGTTGGGATTTCATCATGTTCTGATTCCTCTGATGCTGTTGAACTGTGTTCAGTTGACCCTAGTTCATGCCTGTTACCAATGATTATGTCAATATCATCCACTTTGTCTTCTACAGTTTTTCCAACCTCATTTATTTTTTTATCAGCAATCCGGGACCTATTTGAAGACATATACTTCTGGATGTCTGAGTGTTCCTCAACTAAGGCAGGTCTTAGAAGGCCTTGGATTGCTAGACCAGCTGGAGGCTGCTCCATCCAATCTACTGGATCATCTGAAGCAACCTATAACAGATCAAAACAGTTGGTATAATTTTGACTAAAGCATGAAAAGCAGTTAGTGTACCTTTGATCTACTGAATAACATAAATTCATGGGTTTCATATCATCTTCCTAGAAGTGTTTCAACACTAGTTTACACTTAAAATTAATGGTAGGAGTAGAAGTTACCTCAGCCAGCTTTTTGGCAAAATACATTGGATGAGAGGACCGCATGGTCTCCAATTTTGCCCAGTCTCCAAGTATCTCATTGAAGTCATTTTGATTACCTTCAGCCTCGACAACAGTAACCCAATCCTACAAAACAATAATTTAATGCATGTAACCGGCAAGGAACTAAGTCGGTAGAGCCCATAGAAAACCTATGGGTAAATAGCTAACTTCAAGTTAAATCTGAGAGAAGAAAAAAAAAAGAAAAAAAAAATCAGACCTCATCATAATCATCATCCTCTTCATCTCCGTCGTCCTCATCATCATCATCATCATCAACATCGTCATTGTCATCATCATCATCATCTTCAATCTCCTCAATTCCAAAATCAATTTCTGATGGACTTGATAACTCAATTTCCTTCATCAATTCCATCGTATCAAATCCTATGATGACTTGCTGCATTACATTTGGAAATTTTAAGTATTTAAAAATACATCAGCATATAAGGAGCCCTAGAATGCACCTGCATCCCTGAAATGCTATGGAAACATAAAGTTTTTTATTTTTTTAATCTAATCTCATTTAAATGAAGATTCAAAATAATCTTTTAGTATCAGTTCAGTTTTACTGTAAAAGAAGTCCATTTCACACGAACAAGACAATCCATTATCTTATCTGAAAAGGCTGAACGGTCATACATGCAAGTAATCAGATCTTGTTATTTCTCAATGGAAAGAGAATGATGTCATTGAAGAGTTAAAGTTTTTATAAAAAAAAATTAGTAAAAGAACCATAAACATGATGAAAATATTGCAGCAGAGAAAATACCAATTCAAATTGAATGGGTTTCAAACAATGTTACCCCATAGATTAAGATTATGAAATTTCCTACTTTTTCATCCCAATAATTTTCACAGATCAGATTCTGCAAAATTATTAGGATAGATGGGAGCATTCATGCCCATATTCCAGAAGCAATAAAACACTGGAACAATACATTACTTGCATGGTTGAAATTCAACATAGATGTCAGCAAATATGGGCAAATTTACTAAAAGAAAGGTTGCATACCAAGAAGCTATTTTCTAAGGTAAGAGTTTGCAAAATGTCTTCATCATTCTTCACCTGGAAGTATATATCTGCAAGACATCAGACCACATTAACTTCAGTCCAATAGGCAATGCTACCAGGCAAAAGATGGAAATGAGAATGATTAACCTACTTCCATGCTCATCTGTTACATAAGGCAAGTCTGGCCAGACAACATTCTCATGAACTTCATCATTAATCAAATCAGTAAACATCAGTGATGCTGTACTGTTCACCTGAACATGACACACTACAGCAAACATTAGGTACACAAACTGGCTGAAAATTAAGATGCAATCAAAGTTGTCATGAATGTAGAATGTGGGATGCTTTTAGATTGACTACCCTAACACGAACCATAAACTCCCAATATGCCTTGTATTTAGAGTTATAGCAAAAATATAGTTGTCAGACATGAAACCAAAATGCAGATCTTTAGGTGAATTAATGGTATACCAGTCACTACTAGCAAGTAGTTTATAATTGCCCTCACTCTAACAGGTAAACAGCTCATACTTTGGGGAATACTTTTAAATATAACATAACAGGTTTTAGAAAGTTTATAGAAATTAATCCGTTACAAACAATTTCTCTGGCTGAGCTTCTACAATTAAAAAGTGATGCAATATAATACCTCAATAATGGTCCTAGTAGTTTCTGCAGCTGTAAGTCTAGCATCTTCACCATTTTTGAATGTTGACTCGGGTTCAGCAATCTCCTCGAATGGATGGTAATGTGGCTTACCATACTGTTTTATGGGATCAGATGCAGAACCCAAATGCTCTGCTGTTGCTCGAATCCTATTCTTTATGGGACTCCTTGAAAAGGAGCCACCACTTGATCTTTGAAATCTTTTCCTGCATATCATGCTTAACTTTCAAAACTCTTGAAGATTTTATACGATGCACAAAGTAGCTGAGAATCAAAAGAAACAAAATATAGAGCAATTTCATAGCAGAAATAACCATTTGTTTCTCTGAAAGCATAATAAACACACAAAGACAGAAAAAGGTCTATTGGGACATTTTGAACTGCTTATAAAATATTTCCTCTCAACGATGCACCCACCTAATGGAGGTGTTTCTCCGTAGTTTCTACATTCAGTTTCACTCAGAAGCAGACATATCCATCAAGATTGTTAAGTAAAAAGATATCATTTATGAACTCATTTTGAGGCTAAAAGCTATGTTTCCAAAACACTTCCAGGTTGTATTTGGCTTGATTCTGTTTATATAACTAACAAAAAAACACCTTATAACAATGTCTTATTCTCTTCATGCCTAAAACTTACGTTAAGTAAGCCAAAATGCACCCTAGCAAGACTTCATGCAAAAGAAATTCAAGCTTTTCCAGCCCTAAGCGATAGGAAAGCACTAAAATGTTATCTATTCTATCCTGTTTAGAAGATCACACGCTATCTATGTTCTACAGAAGAAACCTCTAATTTCTTTCCAAGCTAATAAGCATAACAAGTTTATGAAAGCGGTTAAAATTTGTACCAAGGTATATCAGCGCCGGCTCTCCGAAAAAGCCGGTGAGCGGTGACGTGAGAACCAGAAACCTCCTCCGAGCTCCATGTAGGACGATAATCTGCAGAAGCATTAAGCCAGCAAAATCAAGGTCAACCTCCTTTTGGTTTCCGAGAAAATGCAAGAAAACTCCGAGTGAAACTAATATATCAAGCTGCAATTCTATCCACTTGGATCAATTTTAAGCAAGTTATTAAGCTTTTACTAAGCTAAAACAGATCGTAAATCTAAAGAGTAGAAGAACATAAAGAAGAATGTAAAGAAGGAGACGGAGAAAGTGAAGGCGGGCGGAGTACGGTGCAAGGCGGAGGAGGGGCAGAAATTGGCGGCGGAGTGAAGTCGGACGGTCATGGCGGATTCAATCATCGTCATCATTTTCTAGTTTCTGAGTAAAAAATATCTGTGTGATGGACAAGGCTTCCCTTCTGCTTTGAAGAGGTAACGTTAGAGGATGAGGCCAGAGGTGGGTTCCTCTGCGATGAAAAGATGTTGTGTTTGCTACATCCGGACACCTGTTGAAATTATATTGGATAGAAAACAGTTAAATTCTAATTTTACTCCTTCAACTTTAAAATTTTACATAATTTTCACTCTTTTGATTTTGATATTAACCTTCCAGTATAGAATCAAATCACAGCATACCTTGTAAAGGAATACCGAACTCTTTTTACTCCGATGAACAAATCGGTTGTTGCATAATTTTCATTCTTTACTAATTTTAAATACCTTTTTTGTCCCTTTGTTAGTTATATTATCATGTTTTCGTTCATATACATATTTTTAGTGTTTAAATTTATAAATTAAAAAACTAAAAGTGTATATATTTAAATAAATTTAATGAACCAATTGAGAGAAAATACAAAATGTGCATTTTTTAATGTTGAGGATGAAAAAAGTGTAAAAAAAAGTTGAGGGACTAAAACTGTACAAAACTCTAAAATTGAGGGCATTTAATAAAAGGACAAAAGTAGCCTCAGAGAATTCAGCTGTTTCATCAACTTGAAAACCGGTCGGAAAATCATTCTTCCACTTTCACTCTCTCTGGTATAAGAAGTTCCTGTTTGGTTGCCGAGAAAAGTGATGAACTTTCGTGTTTCTTTGCTCGGATGCAATTTTTGTTTTTTGGCATTTTAGTTTCTAAAGTAAGAAAACCCACCTTCTTAACTTTCTGCAGGACTTGATTTTCTGGATTTCTTGGTTTGAAGTTAATCAAATTCAAAACCCTTTTGTTGCTCCTCCCCAGGATGCTTTGTTTTAAATATTCTCCACCATTTATTATTAAAGTGTTCGAATCCATTAAGATTTCCATGGACACAAGAAGTGTTGTTGTAAGCATTCTGCTGGAAACATTTTTTTTTTCCATTTCTTTGTATATATTTACCAATGTAGGTATCTCAATTTAATCATTTTGACTGGCACGAAGGGATGGAATGATAGATAAGAACTGAAAATTTTATGGTAGTTTATGATTTAAAGGTTTTTATTTTTTATTTTTTCTTTTTTGTTGGCCTTCTATGTTTTGGTGCACTAGTTGGTTAATCTTGCCTTTCAAATGGTTAATTATTTTCAGGTATGTGCTGCAAAAGGTCCACGACCAAGATATCCTCGGGTATGGAAACCAAGGAGGAGAATTGGGACAATCTCCAAGTCAGTGAAACTTGTTAATTGTGTGAGCTCTTCTTATTTATGCTGCTTTATATAAACCGGATTAGATTGTGTATGGAGGATGGGTTACAGAATGATGTAGTTAAGGCTATGGTTATGTAGATAAAGGGATTATCAAGTGTCAAAGAGGAAGTCTATGGTGCCTTGATTCTTTTATTGCTTGGGAATTAGAGTTCCCTCTAGTTACAATCAAGAAAGCATTGAAGATACTCGAGGATGAAAAAGAATGAAAGAGAAAAATTCAGGTAATAGATGTCTGCAAACGAAAAAAGTCTCTTGCTTTTCAGTTTGCTTTTCAGTTTTCTTTCCTTTTGAAGAAAGAGCTAACAGTATCAACAAAAATACTAATGGATTTTTGTAGGTGATAAAGTGGATGTTAAGCAAACGGCATGGAGGAACAATGGGAACCTATTTCACTTTACTGAATGCTTTAGCAGAGGATGACAGACTTTAAGAAGCTGAGGAGCTGTGGATGAAAATATTTTCAGACAATTTAGAAAGCACTCCTCGTGTTTTCTTTGATAAAATAATTTCTATTTATTATCACAGGGAAATGCATGATAAGATGTTTGAGGTATGATGCCATGTTATTTGAAACTAATAGTATTTTGCATTATGTGCTTTCCCATTTTTTTTGGGTAAAAACTTCATCTAATTTTGAATATTAGAAGTAAAGCTTTTTTCCACTGATTTCTCCCGATAAGCAAGTTCTTGAATATATAGTCAGTGTCTTAGGTTAACATAAACTCCCATAAGAATGTGTCAAAGTTCTGTTATGAATGGAGTCCTATTGAAGATCAGGTGCTGTCCGCACAGCATAGCCTGCAACACCATTAGTCCAATAGTTTCCATTCAATACACTTTCCTCCACCTATACAACTTACTATGCTCCGATTTTAACTTGTCCAGACCTAAAATCATAATCAGTTTGGTGCGTTCCTTAATCATTGTTCCTGCAAAATCTTATGTTCTTCACATGAAGTAATCTTTGGTATCTATGTCTCTATTCTCTATCGGGTACTGCTTGCTAGAAATGCTGCTTCCTATTCATTAATTTTATGCAAAGTTTTGAATTTTATTCTAATGTCAAGTCTAGTAAAGAGGCTTAACTTTTCTTGATTTACAAGTGTTGTAACTTATAACTTTACTCTTTAGGTATTTGCTGACATGGAGGAGCTTGGCGTCAAACCAGGTGTTTCAATTGTTAAAATGGTTGGAAATGTCTTCCAAAAGTTGGGTATGATGGACAAGTACAACAAATTAAACAAGAAATATCCTCCACCAAATTGGGATATAGATATATCAAAGGAAAGTGTGTTAGAATTCGAGCAAAGAATCTAAACAACTTTGATATTACTACCAGAGGTGTCGGGAAGGATAGGGAACCCGTGGAATATTCAGATGAACTGAATGAGGGAACTGAAGCAAGTCCAGACGAAGCTGATGCTAAAGCTATTACTTCTCCCTGATCATTTCAAATCTCACCTATTGGACTTGGTGATCAGATGCTTTTCTATTTGCCATAGAGAGGAAGGAAGGGTTGCTGTGGAAAGGAGGCAAGATTCTTGTCATGGGACATAGGTTTGCCTTGACCAGAAGCAAGTGCGCTTTACTCTTTTGGCTATCTGATCAAGTTTTCGATAAGCTGATGATTACATACATCTAATATTGGTAGGAACTAAGTACATGATGATTTGCGACGTTTGAATTTTGGGCACCAAGGGCTGAAACAATTGTTGTCATCCTGTTATTGCTATCAATAGCACCTCCAAGAATGAACTCTGGTTTCTTTGATACAGTAATTTGTTTCAAGGGTTATCAAGGACACATCCTGCATGGCATGTATATGAATACAAGGAATGGCATTTTTAAGTAAGTTTGGGTAGGGGCGAGTCAGAAATTGATTTTTTTGGGGGTGGTAGGTGGGGGGGGCCTTGTCTGAATTTATGTATATTGACACGGTGACTTACAATGAGATTGGAAATCATATTAGACTAAAATTACAAATCATATATAGAGTTGGTCTAAAATGTATGCTCTTCCGTGTATTTAAATTTCAATTTCAAACAGAATTCTTATTAAAAAATTATATTAATTGATATGTTCCACACCATAAAACTAAGATGTTTATAAGAAATTAGTATATATCTCTAAAAACTATTAGCTACATCAACTAAACTTAGAATTTTTAAAAATAAATGCTATTTTAAGTTTTATAAGTTAATGATTTTCTGCACCCGCAATAAAATTTATCATTAATTCACTATAAGTGAAAAAAATGTATTTTGTATTCAAAATAATTGTCAAATTAAGGAAGGAGAAAATGTGTCATTCTATTAAACAATATCAAAGAAAATTGAAAAGTAAACCAAACAAATCCTAAAAGCTATTTGATTTTTTCAAAGATTTAATGTGTAACTTGAAAACTTTTCAAATTATGCTGAGAGGAGGCGAGCGCCGCCCTCATCCCCCCCTCCCTGTGCCTCTTAAGTTTGGGGCCGGTGAAACTTTGAAAGTGGAACTTCCAAAAATCTGTAAATTTTGGTGATATCAATGTCATAGAATAAATGACAGCCTTCAAAAAAACCATCCCCAAGAGCAAGAAAAATATAAATGTAGAAATGGAAGTCAAGATTCTATGTTAAAGGCACAAATAATTGTAGCAAGCTCAGAAAATTGATTCAAGATTTCAGTTGTTGGGTGTGCTACTATGATAGCTCACACACTCACTACCAACAAGAGTTTATGTAGTATTGTACCCCCAAGTGGTAAAATCTTAATTTCGAGTTAAGATTAATGATTCAAAATCATAACAATATTAAGCAACCAACTCTTGGGTGTACAAAAAATTAAAAAAAAAAAAAAAAAAAATTCCCGCAAACTCAGCTGAGGGTTGGGGCTAGCATACCATCTCCAATATTAGGCAATTCAAGATCCCCATAAAAGTTCAAGCAGGCAGATTTCGAGTACATTGTCTAAGCTTTTATACTAAACTTATTCGACATGAATATCCCATATAGTGGAACGAATTACCCGCTAGTTATTTTGAAAATTAGACTTTAACAGGTTCCAGTGTAACCCTGCAAAACAAAGGGGCAGATTGATGACTATCACTGCAATGATTGTAATGTTGTTAACCAAGTGAACATTTTTTGTTTTAAGAAAAAAGTTTAAAAAATAGATTATCTTTCTAGTAAATGGACTTGTTTGCTTCACTCCTCATCTGAGCTTGAACCATTCTTATGAATGGTGCCATTGGCGGCAGGGCCCTTCTTTTTAGTATCTTTTTCATCTTCCTCATCTTCACTGTATTCACTCTCATAATCGTCATCGTATTCTTCCTCCTCATTCTCCTCTTCCTCTTCAATTCCATCCTCTGCAAGAGGTCCTTCATCTGATACTAAACCACCCCGAGTGCCAGCACGTGTTCGTTTCAGGACTTTAACTTTCAAGTTAGTCTTCCTGTCACAACCAATCCATGAGTCGCATAAACAGTAACACGTCAAATTGTAACTCCCTTCTGCCGGGGCCTGGAACTTGCTCATCACCAATCTAGCACCACCACGCACCTTCTCTACAGCTTTTCTAACTGCCGCACTAGTATCCTCAATGGTTGCTCCTGAACCCTCCTTTGATTCCCCAATTGCCTTAGATGCAGCAGTTATAGCTGCTGCTTCATCCATGAAGCTGATCTTATGAGAAAACCACACATTATTTGAGACAGCATCTGCAAGCAGAAACCAGAAATTTTCTTCCTTGTAAAATGGGAAATAGGGGGCATGGGGTAGAGCACCAATGAGACCATTACCACGCTTGAGTGTTACCCAAGCTTGAATAGTGACAATGTCACCCTCCTGTATACCCTCTTCACCCTCAGTCTCACATGTAACTTCAACTGTTAATGAAGGCATCATTTCCAATACCATCTCAATATCTTGAACTTCAGCAGAAGAGAACCCAGCAGTTTGCGTGAGAAGTTCAGCACGATCCTGTATATTCATATCTCTGAACTCTTGAAATGTTTTCACCTTCTGTAATTGAAAATCAAGAACTCTTTCAGTGGTGGGATCAATTAAATAAAAGAATTTATGACAAGCATAGACACTAACTGAGCTGTAAATTAAACACAGGAAAACCCATTATTTTTGCTACTTTTTATCTTCTATAGCTACATTTTGATCTGGAAGACCAACCTATCAAAATTTTGGGAAAAATCCACCCAAATTCAATATGTTTTTTAATAGCTCAACCATAGGAGAAAGACTGCATTGAAAACCCCCTTCATGGCTCATAGCAAATTACTTGAATAGACTCTTCAGTGAGAAATATAAAGATCAAGATGTCTAGCCTTTTTGCTGAGACCTGGCAAGTAACATTTCAAAAGGCTGCATTGCTGCATTATGTGATCTGCTATAAGATATTTTCTTTCTTTCATTTTACCTTGCGAGCTATCTTTTTGATAACAGAATCACTAAAATGCGGCAACTGCAAGAATGATGCATTTCCTTCTGTGGATCCACCAGTGGCCTTCCTTGCACTGAGAGGAACAGCCTACAGTTTACATTAAACAAAATCCTAACATCAGTATGGCCTTTAAAGAAGCACTACAGTTTTAGCAAATTGAAAGCTTCTACAACAGAAGAAAAATAAGAGGCAATAAGAAGGTAGACTTTCAAAAAATGTTCTTATTAGGGCCTCATAAAGTATTGCTATTAGAAAACTTGGAAGAATGTTTAAGCCATAGGCCCATAGCAAAAAAGGAAAGAAAAGAGGAACCAAGGGTAACTGGGTAATTAAAGAGAAAGGAGGGGATGCTGCACAACTTAAATCATTAAAGAACTTCAATTTTTATTTTTTATTTTTTATAGACAGGGTGTTAATAATATCAACAATAATCTTGTGAATAACTAACTAATACATAATTTTTTTTAAAAAAAAAAACAAACAGTAACTAATTTCACAAAATCAGCACCTGAATGATACATTGAGAAAGCTCAACAACACCTGTTGCCGGTCTCAGCCATCCATGCCCTTGAGCAGTACGTGGTATAACTGCCATCTGCACAGAAACAATCTAAATCAGAATATATTGACACACACTTGAAGACTACTGCAAAGTACTTGATAAAGTAACTGTAACTGAGAAGAGCTCAAAAAATGACAACCAAGTACCATGACTGACACTCAGCTTACCATCCTTTTCTTTGAGTTTTCATATTTTAAACATAATACACCCAAAATACCCAGACAATGAGAAGGGCTAATTTCTGCCTTTAATATAACCCTAACATCTGGAATTTACTGTCTGACATCGAAGAATTTACTCATAGTTTTTAATCTTTCTCAGGAATCATCCACAGAACTAAACATGAATAGTTCTCCTAAAGATCAATGTATTTCCTCAGACTATGTCATAGATGTGATGCTTTGAGGTAAAAAATGATCCATTTCTCACAAGGTTTGAAACTTTCTCAGGAAATGACTGCAGAATAGCAGCTTGTTATGCACAGGTTAACAAGCATTTTACAATGTTATTCAAGTTTTTTCTCAGAAGCATTGGTTTTTGGGACAAAAAAAATCATAAAGTTTAAAGCATTCTGAGCAGGCTAAATGGGGATGTTAAGAGTATGAAATGGCTTGCTGCAAGTTCTAGACAGGTACAAAAGTTACCTTCAGTAATTCTTCAAGGAGGCGAGGTGCAAGTTCTAGCACACATCTGAAATCACCAAGCAAAGCAGGAGACAGGGCTGCGGATTCACGAGTTAATTGAGCCTGAATCAACAACTCTGTCTGAAAGAAAGTGGGGAAAAGAAAAAAAAGACGTAAGAACTTCCTTCAAGACCATGAAAGAAAAATATTTTCATTACTAAACATATAAATAAATAAAACACCTTCACTATGGCAGGGTGCTGCTTCCAAAACTTAGCTTGCTCCTGCTTAATGTTTTTAAGGTCCAGATTCAACTCACTCCTGACTGACATAAATAGCTTCTGAAGAGGTTCATCATCAGTCCTACGAACTGGAATTTCCATATATTCGGCAGCCTTAATGAAGACTTCCATAACTTTGCTGTACAAACAAGGAATTGCATGAGAATAACAAGAAACATTAAAACAAGCAACTGATCCAATAACACATGAAACATAGAAGGCACAGATGTTAAACTGAACAAAATCCACATCACAGATGGGCATTGCAATTTCAATAGTAGAAAGTGTGATTTCATCTATATGGTAGGCCAGATGATCTACTAGCTTCAGAAATTCCACTTGTGAAAATATCAATAACAAATGCATCACAGGGGTTCAAAGTCAATTGATTGTTGTCCACATAAAACAGAAAACTATACCTCACAATGAAGAGGTGAAAAAGTGAAAAAGTGAAAAACTAGGGGTTTTGGGCTTTTAAATAATCAACCTTGACCAAAGAAAAGAAAGGCTTTTAATCAACAATTAAAAATTAGAAGTTTCAGATTTAGCAAAAATCCATGAGTTTGGGAGATCCACAAACTCTGTAAGGCCACGTCTTACATCATTCATCAAAGGAAAATAAACTTGTAGCAAAAGGAGGCTAAAAGAAAAATTTATGCGTTTATATAAATATAAGTTAAGAGTCCATCAACTATCATCACACATGAGTGCATGTATATCAGAACTAATTTATTCATGGTTGGAAGTGCTAATTAAAATTACAAAAACTTTGAATGAGACAAGTACCTTGGAGCCAGAGAAGGTTTCATGAGGTAGTAATACACAGATAGTGTTTGATGCATGACATAATTTCCAGTATACTTTGATGACCTTGACAGATATATGACAGCTATCACCAATGGTAATAAAATACAAACACCAACAATCCAGAGTAGAAGTATGCCACCAGATGCCCCATCAATGTCTAACAGGAACTGGGGAAGAGCAATACCCATTTGAAACCCCTGTATTACACAGATAAAGATAGTTTTAAAGAGGATTACTATTATTGTACTGCATGAAGCACAAATTCCTTCTCAATGAACTAGAAGAAAATGATCTATTACCTGTCTTCCATCTGGATGACCATATTTCTCAAAATTTTCACGAGATATTGGATCAGTGAGAGCCTGATAAGCCTTAGATATGTACTCCACGAAGTACTTATGAGCCTCTAAAGAAATATATATGAAATTGTTAGCAAAAAAGGGTTGTCATTCAAAGACCTCATTCCTTATGCTATAGTAGGGGTCAGATATGAAAACCAATATAAATAATTGAAATGCCTTCAAAGTTCAACCTGGATCTGGATTTTTATCAGGATGGTATTGAATAGAGAGTCTCCTATATGCCTTCTTTATTTCTGAATCCGAAGCTCCAGCCTCCAATCCAAGTATACTGAATGGCTCAAACACTTGAATCTAAATATGAAAATGCTGGCTTCCTTTAGTGAAACTCATCATTGCAACACTCTAAAGATGAGTATTCTAGAAAATTAAACTGAATGATTCAAAGTAACATTAACACGATGGAAATATCATTTGGACTCATATGCATTTATATTTGAACTTATATGAAATGGGACTACCTCACGACTCATGCTTTTAATATAATAAACCAGAAATATCATGACAATCCAGAGCAGCACTAGGGTCAAATTACTACATGTTGAGAAGTTTGAGATCTGCATGAATAAACAAAATACATTTCAGAAATAAAAATTTGATCACTAAAATAAGTCCCATAAGCTTCAAATGAAGATCAAACAAACTACAGGCCCAGAAATGACTTACCCTTTTAAATATTGATTTGCGGTACTTCCCTGAACGGGAGCATTCCATGCACTGGCAATGGATGGTCTTTGTTTTTTTGGATGCTGCTCGGCATAGCTTAAGTATTGTATAGGGCACTAAAGGCAACGCCATTATTGTCAAGATGAAAATTGGAAACAATGCACTATTCTCTTCTGAAGCAGCCATGGTGATCTTCTACCCTAAACAATTCTTAATTAGTTAATCCACCTGCATAAACTACTTCCGTTAGAAGCTACAGTTCCAACTGTCACTGAAGAACCAAAATCAAGGATAGCATGTCGTGAATTTTAAAAGAGCTTCCCATTGACCCAAAAAAAAAAAAAAAAGAGGAAAAACTAATATTACACTTCTTAACCAATTCACCATTGGAAATTATTAGTTTCTCAGAAAGGATAATAATGATCACTTCATTTCCAAATCACCAAGACTGTATTTTCTTAGAAGTGTAAACATTTACTTAAAAAAAAGATAAACATGGGCGAATAGTGTTTTAATCTAATCAATCTTAGTGCCAATTTGGCCCAAATTCTGGAAAGATATTTTCTGCTGCAAAAGCTGAATTTTTTTGATAATTGCTTTTGGCTTTTCCTAAAAGCTGTGCTTCAGTAGCTTATGGAATAGAAATTTTGCTGTTCAGCATCTGAACTTATATCAATTTCTGAAAACTTCTATAATTATTTTATATAAATTCATGATTCAGCGATCTCCCCAATCGAACTTCTACAAAAGCTAATCTTGAGCAAACAGGACTAGTTCTACAAGACCAAAACCCTAATAAAAACCATAAACTGACGATGGGCAGCATCCTCACAGAACAAAAGTGTCCCTCAAATTACATAAAATGAATCAAAATCTCAGAAATGAATTGCCATAAACCACAAGAAGCTGCAAAAATCGAAACGAAAATTCTAAAGTCCTCCACAATTCATCTAGAATCAGGTTGCGATGAATCACTCATAATCTACCAAAAATCCAATATCCTGAACGCAAAAGAAAGCTTGCTCGCATGAAGAATCAAAAGATAAACACCATGAAAACTAAAACATATTACCTGAGAAGATAACAAACCAGATCGCGATCTGCTCCGCAGAGAGGTATGGCGCAAATCTGAAGGAAGAAGAAGAAGAAATGGCGATGCAGATATTTTTATTAGTTTCAGCTCGTCTTGGGTTTTGTTTTAGATCCGAAAACTTAATAGCAGGGTTTTGGATTTGCAATGGTTTTCCGCTTTTAGCCTTTGTGGAAAATGTCTGATCAAAGGACATAGTTGTTATTTCACACTGTCGATTAAAATCAGTAATTGAAAACTTACCAAAAATGAAATATTGTCACCGGATTCACCATTTTATTCAAATGTGATTACGTAAGGTAATCTCGAATCATTATGTAAAATAAATTTAATTTCCGTGTTATGGAGTACATTCTTACTAAAATTTTAAGGATTAATTTCGAAATTCATCCAAATTGACTTAATCATGCTATGTTATGACATAATATTAAATGAATAAATATATATAATATTATATATATTGATAAAAAAATTAATTATATAAAGATCTATCATATTATAAATTTATAATATTACATAACATTATAATTATAATATTTTCATATAATACCATACTTTATTTATTACACAATAATAATAATAATTTATTTTTTCTCATATTAAGAATTTAGAAATAATTTATTTTTTTTTACTTTTATTATCATTTAAAAAACAAAAAGATGGATAATGACTATTATTATTATGTTAATAGAATAAATAATTAAAGTGATTAGACAATAAGAAAGTTAAAGTAAAAAAAATATTTGTCTTTTAAAATATGAAAAACTATGATAATTGATTGATTTATAATTTAAATTATATTAGATTACACAACATATATCTTTAAAAAAATAGAGGACTCAAATAAATTAAATCTTTTTTAATATATAAGATTAGGAAGGTATATAATAAAAAATAATATTCTCTTTTCTAAACTTGCTCATATATTTTAAATTTAAATATAAAATTTCTAATATTTAGACTCTAGGATTTAATTAGTTTTTTTTTTTATTAATCTTTCGGTATCTGATAACCACATTGGATTCTAATTAATTTAAAATTAAACTGCGTTAGACTCTATTAAAAAAAAAACTCTCTCAACACTTATTTTTTTATTTACAAGACTCGAACTCAAAATCTTATTTAAGGGGAACCGAGCTTCTTCCATTCGAACTAGCAGGTCGTTGGTGGATTTAACCAGTTATACATTCATCAACCAAGGTTACATATATAGGTTAGATAATTTAATGGGGTAAATGGGATTTAGGTGTTACGTTGTTGTTACTTGTTAGAAATTAGAACTGTAAAGGGAATGAAATAGAGATTATGGACAAATCCGGAACATTCTCAAAAGGCTAATGACTAGAAGATCGAATTGGCCTCAAAGTAAAATACAAAAAAGTCCTAAAAGATTTGAAATTCCCAATGTAGTACTAGTAGTAATATTTTCTCTCTCTTCCAATTATTAAAGCACCCATTTTTATCTCCCGCTGCGTCTCAGCACAGAAGTGGAGCCATCCATGGACTCACCACCGGAGCCACTCCACCAACAGCTCCACCGCAACGCCGCCCACTTTCTCCACGCCACCACCAGCTCTCTCCTCTCTCTCCTCCCCACTCCCAAGACCGCGGCTCCCCCTCCACCCTCCAAGATCTGCACGCCCTTCCTTTTCTCCGAGTCGCTTCTCCAACTCACTCCCTCGCCCTTCGAATCGACTCAACCTAACTCCGTCTCTTCAACGCCAGCTATCAAGGGCGTTTCGTCGGCTGAGTCCAGCTCGGGGTTCCCATCAACGGTCAGGATTGCAGGACTCAGTTCAAATGGCAAGGGTGGGGGGCCTGCCTTTGTGGGTCAGGTCTTTAGCATGTGTGATCTTTCGGGCACTGGTCTCATGGCTGTTTCGACCCATTTCGATATCCCCTTCATTTCTAAAAGGTCTGTGCTTTGATAACTAAATTTCTTTTATTTTTAGAATTCAATAATTAATCATTCAGCTGAATAAACAAAAACTAGCTGCTGCAAAATCAAGTTATGAATTAGTTGAGTTTAAGAACGGTAACCCAAAATTATACCTTTTTAACAAACTCTTTTGGGTACTGTACTCGGTGGAACAAAGTGATTCCTGCGCAATGAGTGTTGAAGTTTGGGAAGAAGAATTGCATGTTTACAACTGGTCATGGTTACAACTTATTGCAATTTCAGAGCAGCATTTTGGATGGTTTTTTACTGTTTACTTGAGTGACTATTATGTGACTTTATGCCCAACAAAATGCCCTATCCTATCCTATGATTATCAATGGTAGAAAGAAACATGATGCTATTGGTTAGTAGCCAATATTTTTTTTCCTGGTATCCTAATGGTTCTTGTAAAGATTTGCACTCTGTTCTCTAAATTTGAAATAATTTTCCTCTATCAATCTGTAGGACACCCGAGTGGCTTAAGAAGATATTTGCAAACATTACAAAGGGTGAGAGGAATGGCCCTGTTTTTCGGTTTTTCATGGATTTAGGTGATGCAGGTACGATTTCAGCACTAGGTTGAAATTTTCTTTCCATCTCCCATATACTATGGTACCATTTTTGAAGAGCAACCGAAGCATTACTTACTTAGACCCAAAGTTTAATTAATTTTTGAAACCATTGTTTTCTAATGGTTTTCTAAATATTTATATACAAGCAATCATTGTTTTTCAGTGTGTATGTACTTATTTCAGCTGGCAATTGCTTGAATTCTAACAAATTGTATTTTTTTCAGTTGCATATGTCAAACATTTGAATATTCCAAGTGGTGTGGTGGGTGCATGTCGTCTTGATTTGGCATATGAGCATTTCAAGGTACAGATCAATGATTGAATCGTACTCTTTTGATAACTATAAGATGTGGATTAAAGACTTTAGCTTGACTTGTGAATATTGACTTCATTTTTTCTTCTTTTTTTTTTTTTTTTTGTCCTTTCTCTATCTAATCTATATCATTAGTCGCATAAGTCTACCTAATAGTGCTTGTTTATTTTGGTGTTTGTCTAAGTTAATCTCTTCTCCTTGCACTGGTGAATTGAGTTATGTCATAAGTGCTATCTTTAGGGTAGTAACTCATGAGGGGACAAAGGAGTGCATTGTAGCTATGTTCGTTTGCTGCTCTTGTTGGGATATCTAATAGTACTTAATGGTTTGTGGTGTTCTATCATGCATGTCAATAAAACCTGAGTTTATCTTTCATGTTGCTTTTGTATTTAACATTCTTGAAGGTCTCACAAACCTTTAGAAGTTTGCATTTCTATTGCCTTCTGCATGCATATTTGAATAAACTTGACCCATCCCTCAGGATGTTTGGATATTCCTGCTTCCAGTTGTTCCTTGTTATATGACTTTTGAATATTAAACAATTAATTTTTAAAATAATCATATTTGACATAAGAATGCCTTGTCAAATGGACAATATGAAAACAATATTGCAACACAGTTACTCCTTGGATGGTTGGTTGGAGCAGGCTTTGGCTAATTTGATTGGAGCAACTTATACTGCTTAGGTGCCATTTGACCTAGTGTGTGTGTGTGTGTGTGTAATGCTGGAGTTTCCAAAATACGAATTATACTTGCACAGTTTCACTGCCTTTTTTTTTCATCTGATACAGTTTAAGGCAGCTCTTTCCTAAACTTATTTAAAATTTTCTGTTGATTTGTGTCCAGGGAAAACCTCACATGTTTCAGTTTGTGCCAAATGAGAAGCAGGTAGCATAGAATCTCTAAGAGATATTGTATAAGTATCTTTTCTTCTGATTAAGGTACACACAGTCTGTCACTATTTTCTCAAAGAAGAAAACATTTGCTACCTTTGCAGGTAAAGGCAGCCAACAAACTTCTTAAGACAAACCCTCAAAACGATGGAAGGAAAAAGCTCGATGGTGTTCCTGTTTTTGGGGCTGAAAACTTGGATATTGCAATAGCTACCTCAGATGGGATCAAGTGGTATATGTCTTGCACTAAACAAATAGCATTTGTTCTCTAACATGTTGCCTTTATGGGAAAAGAAACATCTTTAAGGTATATCTCAGTCTATCAGTTGCTTACAGTCTGATATTTTCTCCATCAGGTATACTCCATTCTTCTTTGATAAACACATGCTGGATAACATCCTTGAAGAATCTGTTGATCAGCATTTCCATGCTTTAATTCAAACTCGGCACATGCAGCGGCGACGTGATGTCATCGATGACAACTTGGCAGCAGAAGTGATGGAAGAACTTGGGGATAGCATATTGGAGCCTCCAGAGGTACAATTTTTTTAGTCCCCATATTAGGTTTAAGAATTATAGAATTATAGTTCTAGTTTATGTAGTTTGGCATGGGGGTTTTTATAATATTTCAGTTATCATATAATTTCTTAAACATTTTTCAAAATTTGGGTACCTTAAAAAAATTCAGTCTTTGCAGTTTTTGTAGTTATATGATGATGAGTCAATATTATGTGAGAATCTGAGATGGTGCTGGACTCTTTATGCTCATCTTTATGCCTGCCAACAGAGTGGTGCAATATATTTAGTACCAAAAATGTAGGAGAAATGTTTTGGCTGGGTTTACTATGAGTTTATCTGCCTGATCAGTAAAAAGGGTTATTACTTTGTTGAATATGGTAATATTATCATCTTCACAGGTTCAGGAAGTCTTAGATGAGATTGGCCATCCTGGGATACCTTGGAGTGTTATCTCAAAAGCAGCTGAAATTCAGCTCCTCCATGCTGCTGATAAAGTTTTCTTGAGTAATAGGTGGTTGCGAAAAGCCACTGGCATTCAACCAAAATTTCCTTATATGATTGATTCATTTGAGAGAAGGTAAATCTTATGTCATTTTCAATAGCATGCCTGAGGACTTTTGACTTATTAATACACTTGTACTCTTGGTTAATTTGCAAAAAAATGTCCTTTAGAAAAATTCATCAGAACGAGAAATTCACTTGATCCTTTTTTACTCCAATTTCTTTTGGCTTCTGAAATGGAAAAAATCAAAATGCTGGCTTTTACCCAGTTCACTTCATGGTAGGGATCTACAAGTTGGGTCCTATTATTTCTACTTTATCATTTCAAGTTCTTTTTAATGAATGTTTTTAATTATGAGTGGATGTTTATATCATTGCAGGAGTGAAGCTTCGTTCAAGAAAGCAGCTGAGTCAGTTTTTTGTCTTACCAACTCTGCAACAAATAATTATACTGCAGAGCCCACATTAGACGAATATGATGGTAAAGCTGACTCTGGACAAGAGGGGAAACCTCAACAAAGATCGGATGCAAGGTTCCATCATGTTTGCTCATTGATATATCCTTTATTTCATTCTTTACCCATTGTTGTACTGATCATTTCCTTCCTGCAGAACACAAAGCTCATCAGACAAATGCATGCAGCAAGACTTACAATCCAATCCGTTTCTTCCAAAGATCACAATGGTTGGTATCTCAACAACAGAGGGGCAGATGTGCAAATCTACTGTTAAGAAGACAATGGACAACCTAACAAGAGCACTGGAGAAAACAGAGCAGGGAAATACCTCTGACGGTGATATAAATGAGATGAAAGTTGAAGATAGGGATCCACTATTTGTTGCAAATGTGGGTGATTACCATTCTAGCTTGTCAAAGACAGGCTCAGCACGATGGGTTCGTGGAGGAAACAATTGAAACAACTTCACTACAACATTTATCAGGAACGAGCTGTCCATCAAAGCTAGAATGGAGAGTTGGAAAGGCGCTTTTCATTCAACACCTCAGATATATTTTTCCATGGACAGAAATTACAGTGACCATGGCATGCAAGTCTGAGAATATCAATGAATCACCACAAGATGATTTTTGTAAAGAAAAATAGTGAAAAAGATCCTGGTGATCATTTTGGTTGGGTTTCGAAATCTGTGATGTCCCTGTTGCTGTGTAACTTTGAAATTATTATTCTTTAAGCAAAAGAATAAAACTTTTTACCTTCTAACTATGTTGAAATGTTGATTCTTTAATAATGTTATTGAAGATGCTCTAATAGTTTCTAATGTTTAGTGTCTTATGATAGAGAAATGGAAACTTGAAGCTTTCTTCTTGAGAACGACGTGGTTGATGAATAAGTCATAGGCCATTAGACTTGGAGGGAGCATAATCTATTCCTGTATGTGGTTAAAAATTCCACCATGAATACAATGATGGACAATGCAAAAAGAAAGGCCTAAAATGCTTTCAAGGTGTCTACCACAACAGCCAAGGCTGAAGCTACATAATCATAAGCGAGAAGATAAGAAGACACTAGTGGCAGAACAGTGACTTCTCCTTGGTATATTTGCTGTTGTACTTTTTCTTTCCAAAAAGAGAGATTAACTGTTTGGTATCAAAGAAAAGAAGAGAAAATGTGTTGGTGGGAAACAAGTTGCATAAGGCATTTTTCGGCCGAACATGACCAAAGGCTCATGGCCCGTTTGGTACAAATATTTGGGTAAAGCAGATATTTGTGTTGGCATAAGTGTGTAATATAAACCTTGCTGCAACTGTATGTTTGAATCCCTCCAGCACGCTGTCACCTTATTTGGATAAAGATTTTCTCGGTACATGGCTTCTTTTACATGTACTCTCCCAATACTCAGTGAGATTAATCGAGGTAAAGGTCTAAATACGCATATTGTCAAACCAATAAAATTTTGACAAGAGAAAACAGCAACAACAACGATATAGAACTTAAGCAACTAAATTCTGTCATATATGATTAAAAAGGGGAAGAATAGGGATTGCATTATTGTCATATTTGCTTTTCCTGGTGGAAAATGTCCTCCCATGCCAAACGCATAATAAGGAAAAGCCCAAACTCTTTCTACCCTTTCCTATTTTCTTTCACAAGTTGCCAAACCCACAAGAAGAGATGTGTGGTTACATGGTTCATGACAATAGCAATCATATTATCTAAATCTTATCCAATCTTCAAGCCTCCATAATTAAGGGATAAAGACTATACCTATATTTTTAAGGGAAATGATTTTTGTACAACTTTTTGTTTTATTTTTTTATACAATTTTTTATTTTATTTTTTTGTATAATTTGACGTATTATTAAAATGATTGATTCTTTTAATTTATATAGAACCCGTGATATTAAATGTATCTACTCATTTAATGACATGTAAAAGTTGTATAAAAAGATGATATAAAAAATTTGTCCATATAACACCATTCTATTTTTAATAATATTTACCGAAGCTAAACCTAAACCAATTATA